ACTATTATAAGCAGAGCTGCCATAAATAATTTTGTACGTATTATTTCCCACGTCGGTAAGTAAATCTTTAGGCTAAAATTCTGGAAGTAGAATTGCTGGATCATAGTGCGTGTACGTTTGTGATTTGGATAGATTTGGCAAATGTGCCTTCCATAGAGGTTGTATTAATTACACTCGTCTGTTTTCACATGTCCTTATAAACACAGTTATCAAACTCTTTGTTTTTCACTAACCTTAAAGGTGAAAAATATCTCAAATTGGTTCTATTTGCATTTCAATTATCAGGGAAGTTTAGCATAAACTTTTAAGAACCTTTTATAGTTCTTTTTCTACAAAATTTCTGTTCATTTTCCTTTTTTTCTATTGAGTTCATTTTCTTATAGTTTGTAGAAATCAATCTTGTAGAAACTTTTTGTAAAATGAATTACATTTCCCTGTTTTTTGTGATTTGATACCTAAAATTCTGATTTTTGTTGAGTTTACTATTTTCTTATGGCTTCCCTGTTTTGTGCACTACTTGGAAAGACTTTCTCTACTTAAGGATAAAATATTCTCCCAGCTGCCATGATCTCCACACTTTTTAAAGATTATGAAATATTTCAACATAAAGTAATGTATTTTTTTTTTTAATGAATTTTTTTTCTTTAGAGACAAGGGGTCTTTCTCTCTCTCTGTCTCCCTTCCGCCCCCTCTTTTGTAAAGAGATGCGGCCTAGGCTGGTCTTGAACTCCTGGTCTCAAATGATCTTCCTGCCTTGGCCTTGGTGGGAGTGTAAGTGTGAGCCACCACACCTGGCAAGTAATATATTTCTTTAAAAACCAATATACTCACCACCAGACTTAATGTATTTTGCTGTGGCTTTTCTTTCTTTCAAAAACAAAAAATGTACAGGTAGTTCCCTCTGAAGGTCTCCCTCGTACCTGAGTCCTCCCCTGCCTCCGTGGGTCACTGCCATGGTGAGGCTGGAGCATACGCTTCTGGTCGTGGTCACAGTCTTGAAGGCTGGAGAACTCCTCTAGCTAGTTTAAGCCAAAGGGATTTATCTTGACTGGGTTTCCTGGAACGTCTCCCTAAACCGCACCTCAGAGCTGGGCTGCCAAGGTTGTTGCTGTGGCTCCAGAGCCTTGTTGGTTCCACCACAATGAGGAAGCCACCATGACAGCTGCTGGGTCTAGAATGCCATTTCTGATACTCAGAATTGATGCCCCTATATGGACCTTGCTGTTCTCCACTTATGACTCAGTTCTAAATCAGTCTTGGACAAATAAGCACCTGACAGGTGAACCTAAATTAGATATGCAAACCTAGGTACAAGAGGGTTTGGAGGAAAAGCTCTCAGCTTTCCACTCTGTGTGTATACCAGAAGGCTAGGCAGTATTGCACAAGCTAATTCTTGGTATTTGTAAACTTTGTGAATATTTTAATGTTCCTACTATTAATTTTTATATGAACATTGTATTTTGGCTATCCAAAAAATTTACACAAATTATGTTATAATGCAACTTTGCCTTTTCATTCAATATTATTCTTAAGCTTTTCCCTAGTAAACATCTGTAGCTCAACTTCATTCTTTTAAACTGCTATGGAGCTCCTGTATTAGTTATTTGTGGCTGTGTAACAAATTACCTCAAAACTTACTGGCTTAACACATTTATCATCTCCGTTTCTGTGGGTCAGGAGTTGAATTCAGGTGTGGCTTAGCTTGGTACTGTGGCTCAGATTCTCCAGCGGGCTGTAATCAAGGTGTCTGCTGGAGAAGTCTCATCTAGACGTGACTGGGGCAGGATCTGCTTCCAATTCACTCATGCGGTTGCTGGCAGGACTCGGTTCCTTGCTGGCTGTGAGCTGCAGGCTGCCCTTAGTTCCTTGCCACGTGGGCCTCTCCACAGGCCACTCACAGTAAGGCAGCTTGCCTCAACAACGCAAACAAAAAAAAAAAAACCGCCGGCAACAACCGGAAAGGGTTGAATAGTGTCCCCCCAAACCTCAATACGTGACCTCATTTGGAAATAGGGTCTTTGCAGCTGCAATCACTTAAGGATTGTGAGATGACACCATTCTGGATTTAGGGTGGGCCATAAATTCCATGACCGGTATCCTTGTAAGAAGGGGAGAGGACGGAGACAGGCCATGTGAAGCTGGAGACAGGGATTGGAAAGATTCATCTACCAGCCAAGGAATGCAAGGGCTGTTGGCAGTAACCAGGGGCTAAGAGTGAGGCACAGGATGGTTTCGTTTCTCCCTCAGAGGCTACAGAAGGAACCAACCCTGTTGCCACCTTGATTTCAGACTTAAGGTTCCAGGAAACAGAGAATAAATTTACATTGTTTTAAGCCACCCAGTGTGCGGTAATTCCTCACGGCAGCTCTAGGAAACTAATACACCTTCTGTAGCCAAATCTTGGAAGTGCCATCCCATCACTTTTGCCGTATTCCAAGACACCAGGTTCAGCCCAAGACTGTGAATACCGGGTGGGGTGGGGGAAGGATCAATGGGAACCATTTTAGAAACGGTCTGCCACAATATGCCATTATCTGGACAATCTCTTTATCCATTCTCCTAAGGACATTTAGGTGGTTTCCACTTTTTCACTTTAACAAAATTCTAGGGTGAATATTCTTGAACATGCTCATTTGCAAGTTTCTCTAGGATCTAAAAATGAATCGTGGAATTGAGGAACTTTAGTAGACATTTCCAATTTGCTCTCCAAAGTGGTCGTACCAAGCTCACATTCCTACCATTGATGTTCAGAAATTCACTTTCTCATACCCTCATCAATACTTGGTATGGTCAGATTTTAAAACTTTTGTTAATCTGAAGAGTTTAAAATATCTTGCTTTTGCCCTTATTCGTTTATAGGCATCTTTTATATATTCTACATGTGAATGCTTTGTTAATGCTATAGGCCATCTCCAAATCTATGGCATGTTTTTACCTTTTGTCATATAGAATTTCTAATTTGTACATACTTCTTTTAAGCTTTTGGTGTCATTTTAAGAATGGTTTCCACATTCCAATGTCAAAACAGTATTTTTTCACATACAGATCTTTAATCTAGAATTGATTTTGTATCTTCCAAGTTTCTTTTGTACTTATTTCTGCCATTGTCCTTTCTAAGTCATGTGTTTTCTTTTTCCATTTGTCTTTTATTGGTTGCATTAGTCACATTTTACTTCTTCTCCTTGCTTTCCTTTTAGTGATTTTAAGTTCTACGTTCTTTTAGTCCTTTGACAATTACCCTGAACTTTATCCATGTTGAATGTCTAAAGCAAATAGCTCGTTTTGTCTGCCTGCTCTTCTCCACTCCTGATTATGTCATTGTTATTTTTTTCCCTACTCAATACACTTACTTAGTTTTTTCCAGGTGTTTACCAATCTTTGTTCCCATTGATTTCTGCAACTTACCTGTCCTCGCTGGGTTCATTTTACAGTTGTGCATCTATCAGTAGTTCCTGACACGGGTCAGTTGGTAATTAAGTCTGTCCATATTTCTGAAACTCACCTTTACTTTACCTTCACTCGTGAATGACACTTTAGTTAGGTGTGTAATTCTAGGTTGACAATTTCCTTCAGTATTTTGAAAAATGTTATTTCTTTTTCTTCTGGTTGTTGCAGATGAGAAGTGTGGTCGCCTGACTCTCGTTCCTTTGTAAGTGATCTGTCTTTTCTCACACCTTTTGAGTTTCTCTTTGTGCTCAATGTTCTACAGTTTCACTGTGTTGTGTGGATTCGTTCTATTACAGCACTTAGAATTCAGTGGGCCCTTTCTGAGGACGTCTGTCTGTCAAATCACAGAGTCCCAGTCTTCCTCTGCATACTGCCTCCCCCAGTTCTCCGAGACCTCCTAATTAGACGCATTTTGAAGCATTTTATTCTACTCTGACATTTTAACTTTTTTTCGTATTTTCCACTTTTATATCTCTGTGCTATATTCTAAATGAGTTGCTTAATTGTCTTCCTATTTATTAGTTCCCTCTTCAGTTATGTCTGGTCTTCTGTTAAACCTATATACTGAGGTTTTCTGTTTCAGTGACTATATTCTTCATATCTAGAACGTCTATTAATATGGTTTTTCAAATCTACCTGTTATTTAAACTATCTTGGTTTGCCTTATAGTTTATAATGCTTCTTTTATCTATTTATTTATTTTTTATTAAGACAGGGTCTCACTCTGTTGCCTAGGCTAGAGTGCCCTGGTGTCAGCCTAGCTCACAGCAACCTCAAACTCCTGGGCTCAAGCGATCCTCCTGCCTCAGCTTCCCAAGTAGCTGGGACTACAGGCGCGAGCCACCGTGTCCAGCTAATTCTTCTACTTTTTGTAGTGATGGGGTCTCGCTCTTGCCCAGGCTGATCTCAAACTCCTGGCCTCAAGAAATCCTCCCACTTCAGCCTCCCAGAGTGCTAGGATTACAGGTGTGAGCCACTGCGCCTGGCCTCCTTTTATCTCTGTAAACATGTTAAGCATACTTTTCTTGAAGTCTCTTTCAGATTATTCGATTATTATTAGCTCTTGGTGGTGCAGATTCTGTATGTTGCATGTGCTGCTCTCTCTACCTTGAGATGGTTGGGTTCCTTGGGTGGTTCATTTCCTTTTCTTTCTTGGTACCTGGTGGAAAGGACAGAGCTTTCTTTCCAGCTCAGGACACAACTATCATCTTACGTCAAATATCTTCACATAGGAAAAAGCAGCCTCTGTTTCCTTAGATAAAGATCCCCTGAAGGGCGTGCCCTGTGGCCTTCTAGGTGTCCTGACATCTCTGAATGGGTGTCAGAGATCAGGGACCCATCCTTGAGAGCCCCTCTGCCAGCTCCAGGGTGCCTGGTATCACTGAACACCCATTCAGAGGTACCAGGTGGTGGATTAAAGTTAGTTCAGGGGATTTTTCAACATATTCATCTGGCCCAGTGTGACCCTGGAAAAGTCATTTAACTACTAAGAGAAAAAGATTAAGATTAAATATTGTTATAAAGCAAAACTCAAAAAAAGGCAACACATGATGTCTTAAAAACAAATAGTTTAATTTCATTTTTATCTGGAAAGAAAATACAAGTTTGAAATGACACTTTGAAATGTCATCAAGTGTCATTTTTTATGGTATTATGATTATTCAAAATGTGAAGATATAGAACCTTTATAAATTTCTGGAATCAAAGATTCCCACTGCAGATGAAAAGAGGCTGGTTATAAAATGTCAATTCATTAAATATTCCATTTTTGTTCTTCATTTTTATAGGGAATATTTTATAGAAAAAGTATAAAATAAGGCAGACTTTTGGAAATTCAATTATAAAACTTGAAGAAAAAGTATCAAGTTCCAATTTTTCTTTGCAAACCAAGAAGAGGGTAATTTTTACCTTGGGGAGTCACCTGCAAAGATCAGATGGCTAAAGCAGTTTCAGAGCCCTGGGTTCTATACAGGGAAGCAGCCTTGTCCTTTAGCTCTGCAGAGTAAGACCCACCAACAGCACAGCTTCTTCCAGTCAGCCTCAATCAGGAGGGTTCAACGTATACAAATATTTCTATAGTGCAGTAAAAAATGTCACTTTATATTTTAATTTGCATTATGAAAATAAGTCTGTATCCAAGTAACACATACTGAACGAATATGAATTGTGTAAATTTGGTCGTGGCATCTGAAGTTGGCTTTGGCTTTGAAGTATTTTTAAATTCATAGAAAACATTGAACTTATAAAATAAATAAAACATTTTAACAATTGATATTAATAATCAACTTCAAAGTTTCTTTTTATGTTTCATTTGCTACTCAATTTTAAAAGAGAAGTCACTTTCAGTAGTGTTCCAAAGTGAGTGATTGCACCTTCTATGATGTGGAAAAATTGCTAAAGATCCGATTGCCATCAGCTGTTCTTAAGTCTGAACATAACTGAGAGAAACTGTTTGTAAGATACTCTCTGTTGCTGGCAGGAAATCCATCAATACCTTTTGCAGGGTCTCTCCAGACCTCATGTGTTAAAGAAAGCTGATGAAAACCATGGTTCTTGTGTGCCTTTCTGAAGAGCTCAGGCCCAAGGTACAGTGGCCAAGTCTCACTCTGTGGCAGTGGCATTGGATAGTGGCTGCAGAAGTTCACTGATGTCCCTCATGTGCTTTTCACAGGCTCTGCAGACTGGGGGACAGTTCTGCCTAATACTGAAAGGACCAAGGAACTCTGGCTGCCATCTGGAATTCCAAATAATCAGAGGGACAAAGCGTCTGGGCCCTGGACAGTGTCCCACACTATTCGCGAGGTGGTCGGAGGCCCCGCAACTTCATTTCGTCCAGTCCTTGCCAGTATTTGAAGTTGTTGTCAAGATGCTGCATTAGATCAGGCAGGTCTACGAAGGCTGGAGAAAAAGATGGGAAGGCAACATCCTTTCACAGCCTCGGTTTACAGGGTTAGGCTTTCTAATGAGAGCATTTTAAGGAAGAGGGACAGAAGAAGTAGGCATTTGCATAATGCTAAAAAGACCTGGGCAAACATACCCAGAAACCTGAATGAACATGGTTTACTGAAGTTAAATCCTGTACTCAATGCCAGCATGTCCTCTGTGGCCGACCTGTCCAGCTGGTAACTTTGGTAAGTACGACAGAAGGCAGCTACTCTGCTAATTATCATTAACCAGCACCTCTGGGCTTAAGGTGTCAGGAAACACCTTATGGTAGGGCCGGGGCCAGACCCTGACGGGCTCTTCCGTGCTCCCCCACTTCCCACCGCTGCGCCTCACATGTACCATCTCCTTGCCCCAGCTGTGTGTGGAGGAAATGGGGCCTGGAGAGGCCTGAGTCTGGTCTCGGTCCCAGACGGGGTACGCTACAGAGCTTGCAGTCTGCCCCCAAAGCCACAGCTCTTTCCACTGCCTCAATTCTCCCCAGCCACACACCCCTGTTCTCACCTCAGAGCACCCTACGCCCCTGAGACAGGAGCTGCTCTCCTGACTGGACCTGAGTTCGAGTCCCCGCAGCCTGCAGGACACAAGATGCCCAGGTAGCAGTAGCAGGATCCTCTTCTCCCATCACCTTTTATTTGACAGGCTCCTCTGTCCCACCGGAAGGTGAGAGTAGAGTGACGTGCATCAGTGAGGGACACTAGCGCCCTCTGGTCTGGCACAGAGTGAGGCCCCGGAGAAGCTGGGGGCAGTAGGTGGCAAAGGGCTTGCGTAGAAACACTGGGTTTTGGAGTCAGTGCTATTGGTTTTGAACCCTCGCCCTTTTGCTGCTAGCGATGGCATCCCAAGTTCAATTCCCTCATCTGTAAAACAGGTGGGAAGATGCTGGCACCCGGGGGCCGGTTAACGAGGAAACGCACAAAGAACACCTGGCTCTCGGGCCCTCATTTCTTCTCTTCCTCTTGAAAGTCTAAGCCCCAAATCATATTCTAGAGTCCAGTGTACTATCTGCTATCTAATATGCAGTTCCCTGTTCTTTAAAAGAAAACATGCTGTAAGACTTCTTACCGTCCCAAGCATCGAACATGTCTGTGATGAAGTAGTCAATGAAAGAGATCTGGGATCTGGGGATGCTGCAGCTGTTTCTGTCGAACACCGGCATCACCACAGGCAAGTCCTGCTGCTTCTCCTCATCCGTCTGCAAGGCAGAAAAGGTCACAGTCACAAGCCCTTGCACCTGGCTCTGCCCCGCCTGGACTGGGCTGGTGACGAGGAGCCGATGGCAGCACTGGCCACGCAAACCAGATCTGCTGCCAGAGACCAAGCTGTTCTCAGAGTGGAGACGGCTCCATGTCATGCTGGGGGGCCTGAGGACACCCCACCCAGACAATGTTTTCAACATCTGGAAGGCTCCAAGCTCCTCAGGTAAGATCCCAAAGAGTATGTGTGGTTAGCCTCTGTTGCTTCTGTCAACCTAAAGAAAGAAACTGAGGCAAAATTAATACAGAAGGTTTATTTGGGCCAAGGTTAAGGACAGCTTCCTGGGAAACCCTGGGAAATGTTCCAGAGAATAAAGAAGAGGTTATCATTATAAAAGCTGTTCATCAGGAATTTTATTGGTTTATAGAAATGACATTAGTGATTGGCTGTATCTTATTGGATTACAAGGTATGGATTACGTATCCAGCACACAGCACTGTTAGGCTAATTTATGGCTACTGGTGGCAACATTTAAGAGTCCATATAGCTTACTTAGTTCACGGGGGGGTGAGACGTGGCTGCTGTCACATTTAAATGCCTCTCTGGGCCTGATAATAAAGGGTGCTCGAATTCCCCAGAGAAGTTTCTTTTCTTTCTCATTCCCATCACGGTCCAGCTGTCCTCTCACGCAGGAAAAGCCGGGAGTGCCCCACACCAGGTCACAGCAGTATTCGAGAAACAGCCCCTGCGTCACAGAGAAGAGCCTGATGGCTGCTTTTCACCTATGGCTGGATTTATTTTATTTGAAAAGCTTGTAAACACCCTTGAGATCCTGGAGTTTAAAAAAAAAAAAAAAGCTGAAGTTGAAGAATTTTTGTGCACTTTAGTCAAACTCTTCCAGAACATCTTCAGGATTCCAGAGAGACTTCCAAAAACTGAAAACATAATTAAGACAATTAGGACCCTGGGGGAAAAGGCAAGTTTATCTTGAAAGATATCGGGATGTCTAAGGTTTCACTTTTGCCCACGGGTCCTGGAGAAAAGGGTGAGGTGAGGCCCCCAGGGCGGCTGGGGAGTGGAAGAGCGTTACTCGGGGACTGAGCGTAGGCGACTAGAGTCACTGTGAGACCCCCGTGGCAGCCAGCGCTGGGAGCCACGGTCAGACAGTGGGGCAAGACGACAGGGCGAGCACAAGGTCAAGTACCCTGGGAGGGAGCTGGGGGTGAGATCTGGGCCTTTTAGGTAGGACCCCAGCACGTGTGCGGGCCAGGTGAGGAGACGGTGGCTGCCGTGCTGCACGCTCTCCCCTGGGGCCAGGTACGGTGAAGAGGATGAGGAAGAGTGGCTGTGTACACAGAAGAAGAACAGAGTGAATGACTTAAGGAAGCCAGCATGGGTGCAGGTGTTGGTTCTATGGGAGAAGCTGAGGCAGAACAACTTCCCGATGGACGCAGTGTCCTCCGGAGGGTCTGGGAATGGGGGCATGTGAAAGCTCTTAGCAAGGAGCAGTGGCCGTGTGGAGCGAGGCCAGGGAGAGCTCTGTTGGCCATTTGGGGGAGGCAGAAGCGCTATTCTGAGAGTAAAAGACATAACTTGTGAGTGGCCGACACTGGGACAAGAGTTCCGGTGTTTAGCAAGACCAAAAGAAAACCCTCTCTCAGGGCTGCCTGCCCAACCCCAGAAAATGTTCATGAGGCCAAACCAGGATCCCTCCTCTGTGCCATTCCTCTTCTATCCTGCTTGTCCTCAGCTGAGGCCTGGCAACTGCCCAAGGGGCTGTAGGGACTCAGCCTGCTCTGGCTGGAGCCGGAGCCGGAGCCGCTCCTGGGACCGGTTGGCAGTTATGGCCACTCTGCCCTGTGCAGACCTTATTCCTGGCGGTGACGATGACTCTCTCCAGCTTTCTCCTGGGATCTCTCCACTTGAGGACAGCAGGTAAACCTCTGGAGGTTTTCCTGGGATGGGACTGTAGCTCGCACACTGCTCAGAGGTGCAGTGTTGATGGTGCTGGGGACAGGTGCCAAGAAAGAGGCCTGTGCTGACTGTGGGGCTGGGCAAAAGCCAGTAAGAGCCCTGTGCCTGCAGGCCAGAAGCAGACTCCAGGAGGCGTGGAAGCCAGGATTCACGTGCTCTGGTAAGAGGAGTGAGGAGCCCTGGCTTGGCCTGCGCCTCTGTCGGCTGGTGAAGGCCCTGCTGTTGGCCACAGGCTGGCAGCCCCACCCCCTACGTGAGTCTGTGCCATGGTGTGCGGGGAGAGCCCCAGGGTGGGTACTTTCCTGGTCACGCTGAACCGGCTCTCCAGGCAGCCACAGTAGAGGCTCAGTCATTCCTGGATTGGAGGCTTTTCTGCGCGTGCTGCTCTCAGGACCTGCCCCCCCTAGCCAGGTGGAAGCAGCTGGCTGGTTCAAGGTCAGTGAAAGCCGTCGTGCTCAGATTTCTCCTCTTTGGCCCAATGTGACAAGTCCCCAGGTCTCCAGGTCTCCAGTTCTCTCTACTGAGGTCCGCTGTGGCCCATGCCCTCATCTAGGTCACCATTCTAACATGTCTAACTCGGCTTCCCACACGGAAAAGCATGACTACGACGTGGCACAGCTGCGGGGGGATGACTAACGTGCAGACAGTCGGGGGAAAGATACGGGCAGAGACATAGAACAGAGCGTCCAAGACCCTGCAGAGCAGCTGTGTATACAGGAGAGTTAAGAAGGTCACATGCAGGCCCAGGCATGCTCAGAAAAGACCCGAGAAGACGTGATTTCATGTCAGGCTAACCCCAAAGCTCAGCGCCGGTCTGCAAAGACTGGGAGGGTAGCTGTTTTTTCAAATGCCCAATTTTCAACGAAAATTACAAACATACAAAGAAACTAGAAAACATGGCCCGTTCAAAGGAAGAAAATATAATGGCAGAAACTGTCTCTAAAGAAGTACAGACACTGGGCTTACTAAAGGAAATCAGGAAAATGACAGATGTACACAATGAGAATAGCAACAGAGACAGGAATTATAAAAAGTAACTGAACAGAAATTCCAAAGCCTAAAAATACAAGAAATGAATTGAAAACTTCACTAGAAGGGTTCAACTTCAGATTTGAATAGACAGAAGAATTAGCAAACTTGAAAACAGGACATCTGAAATGAGAAAGTAAACAGAGCCTAATGGACTTTATACATATTGTGAGTCCTGAGAGGGAGAAAGGGAAAGATTATTTGAAAAAATAATGGCCGAAAACTGCCATAATTTGAAGAAAGACATGAATCTACAAACTCCAAGTAGGCTAAACCCAAAGAGCAATACCGAGACACATTATAACCAAATAGTCAAAACACAGGGGGCATCTTGAAAGCAGCAAGAGAAAAGTGACCCATCACACACAAGAGATAGTAAGATCACACAATGATTTCTCAGCAGAAACCTTAAAGGCCATGAAATAATAAAGTGCTAAAAGAAAAAAAAACACCTGTCAACTGAAAATTCTGAATCTGGCAAACTGTCCTTCAAAAAAGAGGGTGGGCTAAGCACGGTAGCTCATGACTGTAATTCCAGCGCTTTGGGAGGCTGAGGCAAGAGGATCGCTTGAGGAAGGGAGTTTAAGACCATCCTGGGCAATGCAGTAAGACTTTATCTCTACAAAAACAAATAAAAATGAGGGGGAAATTAAGACATTCTTAGATAAATATAAGCTGAAGGAGTTCATTACCATTAGACCTGGCCTACAAGAAATGCCAAAGGGAGTCCTTTAGCTTGAAATGAAAGCTAGACAGTGACTTGAAGTCATACGAAGATTTCTGGTCAAGCCTAATATATGGGAAAATAGAAAAAGCATTATTATAATTTTGATTGTAACTCTCCTTTTAATTTTCTACAGAATTTAGAAGAAAAACAAAAATATATGACATCAATAACAAAGTGGACTGGGGTGATAGAGCTGCATAGGAGTTTGTTTTAAATTGATTCCAACTTAACATTAGTTGCATATACAAATTGTTATAACTTTAAGATGCCATATATGTAATCTCTATGGTGTACACAAAGAAAATATCTATAGAATATTCACAAAGGAAAACAAAGGGAATCAAAATGTGTCATTACAAAATATCAAATAAGCACAAAGGCAGGCAATAATGGAGGAAATGAGAGACAAAAAAACTGCAAGACATACGGAAAACAACAAAAGGCAAAAAAGTAAGTCCTCTCTCTCGTCAGCAATTATCTTAAATGTCAATGTATTAAACTCACCAATTAAAAGGCACAGACTGGCAGAATGGATAAAAAGCATGTGATCCAACTACATTCTGTCTATGAGAGACTCACATTAGATCTCAGGACACATGTAAGTTGAAAGTGAAAGGATGGAAAAAGAAGTACCATGAACAATTGTATGCCTACACAATGGACAAATTCCTGGAAACATACAATCTACCAGGACTGAATCATGAATGGAGAATCTGAATAGAGCTATGATTAACAAGGAGACTGAATCAGTAATCAAAAACCTTCCAACAAAGAAAAGTGCAGGACTACATAGATGGCTTCAATGGTGAAGTTTACCAAACATTTAGAGAGGAATTAATGCCAACCACTCTCATATTCTTTCAAAAAATCGGAGGAGGGAACACTTCCTATGATGTCAGCATTATCCTAAAAGATAAAGACACCACAAGAAACTATAGACCAATATTCCTTCTGAATAGTGATGCAAAAATCCTCAACAAAATGATAGCAAACCAAATTCAGCAGCATATTAACGGATTAATGACCACGTGGAATTTATTCCTGGAATCCAAGAATGGTTCTGCATATGAAAATCAATGTAATATATCACATTAAGAGAATGAAGGAAAACAACACATGATCTAAGATGCTATATTTTACGTTACGTAAGTTCTACCACAAGAAAAGGAAAGAAAACAAAGAAAACAATAAATTGCTTCCCAAAGTGACTTACAGCATTTTTATACATCTATCACTGATGTATTAATTCCAGTTGCTCTAAACTTTCACCAACATTTGGTGTTGTCAGTCTTTGTAATTTTTAGCCATTCTGCTGGGTGTGTAAAGATATTTCATTTTGGTTTTAATTTGAATTTCCCCAATGACTAATGATCAGCATTTTTTCATGTGCTTATTGGCTTTTCATGATAACTTCTTTGGTGAAGTATCTGTGAAAATATTTGACCGTTTTTAAGTGGGTGGTTTGTCTTTTTATAATTGAGATGTTCTTTATATACTCTGGAGATACAGTCCTTTGTCAGATATGACTTATATATATTTTCCTCCAGTATAGCTTGCTTATTACTCATTTTCCTAACTGTATTAGAATGAGTACTTTTTGAATTCTGAAGAAGTCTAATTTATCAAATTTTCTTTTTATGGGTGTTGCTTTCTGTATTTAAGAAATCTTTGCTAAAAATATATAGAAAAAAAAAAAATTAGCCGGGCATGGTGGCGCATGCCTGTAGTCCCAGCTACT